CTGTGAACAAAGGGTCGAACGAAGGCAAAGGATTTGTGAAAGATGTTGTGACTTACATGGTAATGGATGATCTAATTGTGAAGCCCATGTCAACTATTTCTAGCATTGCTTCGCTTAGCAAGTTTAATGTCAAGGAATTGGCTGCGCTGCAGGAGAAGGAAGTAAACTTTGGGTTGAATGAGGTAATATTGTTACCTGTCCGTGCATGTTTGGCGTGCAATTTTGAACAACAAAAAAATATACTATCCTCGAATTGGATATTTAAGTGTCGTTTGACATGACTTTTAAGAAGTTAAAAGGAACTTTTGAAGCCCGTTTGGCTAATTTTATGAAATTGCTTCTTCTATTTAGAAGAGCTTTTAGATAAAATTTATGTAATGTGGCTTTCTCTACAGTTTTCAATTAAGAATTAAAGTAGCTTTTTGAGGAAGTTCTTCCACGGAAAGAAAAGCAAAAGCAAAAGCAAAAGTAAAAGCCATGCCAAATGAGTCCTTAGTAGATTTTAAAGTTGATGAAATGTGTCGTTGAAAAGTTGATAAAAGTCGTTGACAATGAAATGTGCGAGTAAAAATGAGTTTAAGGAAAAAAAGGTTTTAGAAATTGGGAGTCAAACATAAACTCATTTTCTTGATTCATTATATTTTGTTAATTTAATTTTCTCTCAGGGTTTGAAGCTGTTGAAGGCATCTCTGCATACTGGCGATGTTCTAACCACCGTCTTCCTCAATGGTGAAGATGAAATCAAGAATGTTACTACTTCAAGAAAAAGAGTTCGAAAACATTGAAAAAATTAGTCATTCAATCGAATGCTATCTATCATTCATTTGTGACCTTTTTTTAGAAAAATTTAAAAACACCTACTATGGTTTTAGTTCTTCTCTTGTGATTATTGAATAAAATTTGATTTCCTCATTTCTCATCAATTATTCGCCATTCTTCGCAAATCAATGTAATCTGTATTACTTGTTAATTGACATTTCAACTTAGTACTAAGTTTTTTGCAATCTTCAATTACTTTTATTGCCAAATTAGATTGTACAAGAGTTTGTACTAAAACAGTTTGCAACAAAATTAAATATGCTAAACCAGGGGCGGACACAGACTTTTGAAGCTAGGAGGGTACAATCAAACTTTCACAAAGTGACGAAAAAATTAAAGTGAGAGATATCATATTACAATTGTTCTCTACATGTTCTCATATTTTGATAACGTTCCATAATTATTTTATTTTCAATCTTGTCAAATACATCTTTCTCAATATATGCAATCAAACTATCATTCAACCATTGATCTCCGATTCGATTGCGCG